TGAATATTGCCATACCCTGGAAGTATCCACCCCTGTGGTTTCTATTGCACTTGGTAGAGGGAGATGGGTGTGCGCTCCCCCTTTCTCCCTCCTCCCCTGGCTCCCAGCCTCTGTGTTCCTCCCACCACCCTCTCCCAACCCCCCACCCCACCCCTGAGCCTTCACTTGTTGTGGACATCCTCTCTTCGGACGATCTTGTAGATGATCCAGTAGAACATGTTGAAGATTAGGAAGGCCATGGGGAAACCGATGCGTGATATCTTGTCAATCTTCTTGGCTCTCTGGATGAAGAGTTTCCGCATCTCCTCTGGGGACTTGGATGGTGCAGGAGCGGGGTTAGTGGTATTATTGTTGTTGGCACCCTTGACAGAGATGCCATCCTTGGCCTGTAGACAGGCTGGGCCCATCCCATAGGCGAAGTTGAAACGGCCTTCTCCGCCATCATCATCCTGAAACAGATTCAGCATGGGGCTCTACTTAAAATAAGACAAGGGCTGGGCACCCTCCCTGCAAGGCACTCCCCTTGGGGGCCAGGCCATGCCATCTGATCCTCCCTGTCTCTCAGGCTTTGTGTCCCCAGTTGCTGGCGGCGGTCTGGCTGGCTGGGGAGTTCAGCCTTATAGAGGGGCGCCACTCACATGCTGAAACAGATGCAAGCCAGGGGATGGGAATGGGTACAGATTCTGAGGCCTGAGCGCCAGGCCAGGTTGTGGGTCTTTGCCATTTACTGAGGTCTGTGACCTCAGACCGGTAACTTCCTTCCTAGTGCCTGAGAATTATTTCAAGTTTTCTTCTCAAGGCTTTTTAACCTTTGGAGGCCTCACTGAATAGGAGACTCCAGGCTGGCCTGGGATTTGGTCAGAGTTTTGGAGGGTGGTTTGGAGACATCCCCTGCTTTGCCTCTGTTGCATCCTTCCCATCTTCCCCACCCTGTGATGGCCTGGGAAGGAGCAGAAAGTTCCTGGCTTTCCCATGTTATGAGTCGTTTGCAGCCAATGTTTTTGCCGTCAAATTTTATTCTACACCTACTAACTTTGGTTTGGCACAATGACACTTTATTTGGAGCATGGTTAGGAGACTGAACTGTCCTGGGGTAGAGATGGCTCAGTGGTTAAAAACACTTGCTCTTTTGGAACACCCAGGCTTGGTTCCTAGCACCCACAGTGGGTCACAACCATCTGTAACTCCAGTTCCAGGGGGATCCAAGTCCTTCTTGTGATCGCTTCAGGCACCAGGCATGCATGTGGCGCACATACACACATACAGGCAAAATACTCATAGACATAAAATAAAAATAAATAAATAAACTTTAAAAAATTTAAAAATGAATAAAACAGGTATGGGCTGATAAGATGGCTCAGTGGGTAAAAGTGCTTGCTGCTAAGCCTGAAAACCCGAGTTCAATCCTCCGGACCCACTTACAAGTTGTTCTCTGATCTCCATATTTCTGCACATATAGCCATACATGGACAATACATACATACTTGTGAGTGTACACACACACACACACACACACACACACACACACACACATTCAAGGCCATCCTGGCTACAAGAGACTGTCTCAAAAAGCAAATAAATAAAAGGAAAAACTTAGAAAGACCCTGTAGCACCTCATGTACATAGTTAACCTTCTCTAGACAAATGGGAGCACCGCTACAACATGGATCCCCAATGTATATAATGAGCTCTATTGGTATGGGAAACACCACATTAGCTTTCCTAGTTTTTTTGGG